TTGGACAAGGCCCAGCCCCTGCCTCGCAGAACTTCCTCTGTAGTAGGGGGGACAGCAAAGCAATCAAAGGTCACGGTCTAGTCTGAAAAGCCCTGTGACTAAGACATGGGGGAATGCTGTACTAGCCCAGAGGAAAGCCCTATGTGCCTGGCAGAGCAGGAGGGCTTCCCAGAAAGGAACCTTCTAGGATGAATAGGGTTGGCCCGTGGGCAAGGAGAAAGGCATTCTCCGAAAGGAACCCGTCTGTGCAAAGACAGAGGTGGGACGTCGCATACCTCATTCAGAAACCTACCGGTAGTTTGGTGTGAGCCCAAGTCAGGGGGGGCTGCGGGTGAGTGGAGACCAGGAGGCAGGCCAAGGACAGGCCACAGAGGGCCTGCAGGGGTGAGGGGCACGACTCCATCCCAGGCACACCGAGAGCCTGGCCAGAGCAGATTGAATTAAATTCCATCATGCCAGAGCCCGGCATGACTGAATGTGCTTCTAAGAAAAATCCATCTAAATACATGAGAACTATCCAACCAGTTGTATATGGGATCGGCGAGTCTGTTTGGGAGAATCTGGTCAAAGGAAATAACCCAAAAAGAAAACAGACATTTGTCTGAGGATGCTCCCAGCAGTGCGGTTTATCATAATAACAAAATGACCGAAGTCCAAGTGACCAACTCCAGACAAATGAGGCATGACCCCAACTCTCAGGGTGCTCCCATGGGGAACAGAGATGAGTGAAACATGGATAGTACAGAGTGGGACCATGGCGGGGGCCTGGAGAGAGAGATGAAGGACTGCAGGGGTTTAGTGCCGAGAAAGCTCCACTGGAGCGATCCAGGGAAGGACCCTGGGAGAGGGGCCGTTGAAGCCGATTGGCAGGATTAGACCTTAGAGAGAAAGGGAGTGTGAGACAGTGCGCTCTAGACAGGGAGACCAGTTCACGCTTGTGCCAAGTCAAGGGGACTGCAAAATCCCAGCTGTACATGGGGAGCTGCGAAGGGTTCTGTGCTCCAGGGACTTCCAGCCCTCACTCCGCTGTACAACACGCAAGTGGGACCCGAGGCTACCACAGGCATCTCCAACTTTAGACAAAACCAAAAATCTCAGCCAGTCATTAAAACACTACAATCATTTATATTCATCACAAAGTCCAACGGTACGTGAGCAATAGTAGCTCATTACAGGCCAGGGCATGGGCAAGGCGGAAGGCCAGTGATACAAAATCTGAAATGGCTGTAATTTTAAAAATGGAAAATTACAAGTGATGGCAAGAATATGGAAAAATCAGAACCCTTGTACACTGCTGGTGCAACCGTGAAAGGGTGATGCCACCGTGGAAACTGGCTTGGGAGTTCCTCAAAAACTTAAGCATGGAATTACCTTATGACCCAGAAATTCTCCTTCTAGCTACATATGCAAAATAACTGAAAACAAGTACTCAAGCAAATCCTTGCATACAGATATTCATAATTCATAATGAATATTATGAATTCATAGTTCATAATTCATTATGAATTCATAATTCATAATTCAATTATTTTCATAATTTTTACTATTCATAATAGTCAAAAGGTGAAAACAAACCAAATATCCCCATGAATAGGAAAATGAACAAAACAATGGTGGTATATCCATACAACAGAATATTATTCAGCCATGAAAAAGAATGAAGTACTAACACATGCTACAACATGGTGAACCTCGAAAACATCACCCTAAGTAAAAGAAGCCAGACACAAAAGGTTGGGTATTGTAAAAGTCCACGTATGTGCAATGTCCGGGATAGACAATCCACAGGGAGAAAGCAGGTTAGTGGTTGCTAGGGCTTGGTGAGGTGCAAATGAGGGGATGGGGAATGACTGCTTAATGGAATTAAGGTTTTCCTTTAAAGCGATGCAAATGTTTTAGAAGTAGATAAAAACATGGCTGCAAAGCATTGTAAATGTGCTGAATCCCACTGAAGTGGACACATGACCATGGCTAGTTTTATACTACGTGAATTTTACCTCAAAAAAAAAACGTCAGGATATCCAAATGTCCAATAAACATATGAACAGGCAATCAATTTAATAATCAGGAAAATATAAATTAAGATGACAGATTCCAATAGGTGCCCACTAGAAAGGCTGAAATCAAGCCCAGTGATGAGACCAAGTGCTGGCGAGGATGCTAAATACTGAGGGCTCGCATGCTAGGTTGGCGTCTGTGTCCCTCCAAACAACCGCAGTGGAAGACGTGCTGGGTGTTCACGCACCATCTGTCCAGCGGGACAATTTCATAGCCTGTTACCCCACACTCCGCTCTTAGGCACAGAACCAACAGAAATGTGTGTGCTTGTGCACCCAGACACGTGTGCAAGAATGTTCACAGACACACTACCATGTTAGACCAAAATGGAAGAGAAACAAATATTGTTGGAGAAAAATGGATAAATAGTGCACGTGATATTAAACCAGTGAAATACTATACAGCAAAGAAAATGGACTAACTACAGCCACATGCAATAGCACTAATGAATCTCAAAAACTCACTATTCCATGATAAAAGCCACACACCAAAGAAGACATCTGACAGGTATACACTTCAAAATCAAGTAAAATGGAATTTTTTAGAATTCAGGGATACATGCTTAGATACTAAAGTTATTTTTAAACAGTAAGGGAGTGATCCCCATGAAAGTCAAGGTGATGGAGGGGATAACACAGCCAAAGGGCACAGAGGAGCCTCAGGGGCGATGCTTATGCTGACCTAGGTCATGTGGATGTCTGCACTGGGAGAAACCACTGGACTGGACTTTCTGCGTGCATTCTTCTGAATGGATGTTACAGTCCACAAACACTTTAAAGAAAAGCAAGCAATTTGCACATATCAGTATTTCATGATCTGGAACAAATTACTTGTGACACTACTGTCTCTGTCCCCACAACAACCTCATCTTCTAAAATAGAGAAGGTGTTCCAATGACACTGTAACTTTACTCCTCAGCTGTCACCCCTTAGGGACACAAGGATCAGTGTGAGGGGCAAGGGTCCTGTTCACAGGGGTCTCTTTAAACAAGGCGGGCCAGGAAACCCTGAGGGGCTGAGAAGCCTTGGGACATTGGGACTCACTTTCCTCATCTGAAGGACAGAGACGATACCGGTCCCTGTCCCCACCTCCCCAAGTGAGGACTGGGTGAATGACACGTGAATGTATTCGCACCTCTGCCTCACCCTATGAAATCGTTCACAACTGTTAACCTAGTTAAACAGCAGAAAAAAAACTTGGTTTGCAGGAGGGTATGTCCGGTGTCTAGGAAGATCCTCTTCAGACTCCCAAAGGGACACTGAGTACCCATCAGTTGCAAATGGCCCTCCCCAGGCCCTTTTAACTCCTGGGGGTTGGTTTCCTAGCACAGCCTTTTTACATTATGGATGGGAACAGGACTTCCTCTGTCTGAGAAACCACAGCCCTGACCTGACATCCGGGGATCCAGCTGATAAGCGCAGAAGCAGGAAAGAAACAACAGAGTGCCTCTCCCCAGAACCTTCTTCCTTTGGGGCGTGAGGGCTGCAGCAAAGTTCTGCAAAGACCACGGAACCCGAAGCCGCTCTCTGCTGCTGAGCTGGCAGGAACCTATATCACATGCAAAATTGCAGCATTCCCACATGGGCCATGGTGCTGAGAAGCCAAAACTACGCTCCAGCTGCCCTTTGATCTGCAAGAAATGCCAGGCTGGACGCGCTCTGGCAGAAAAAGCTGTCGTTGTGTTTGGGTCTCGCTCCCAAGAAGACAATGGTCTGGGCTGTCCCAGGCTTCCTCCAGCACACAAAGAGTTAACCGAGGCCACCCACTCAATCCCCAATTTCCTTCATGGGGACAGTTGTTCCTCCCTCTCCCCACACCTCTACGGAGGCTGTGCACTAACCTCCTAAACCCAGAAAGGGGCAGAGACTACTGTCTGGAGAGCACAGTCCTTCCCCAGAACTGCATGGAGAAAAAGGGATGAGCAAGGAAGGATCGGAGCCTGCAAGTCCGGCTCAGGTCCTGCCTTTGGGCGGCCGCTTCCTAAGCCTCTCTTGTCCTCAGTGTCCTCACTGTAGAAACGCCTGCCCTGCTTTTTAAAAGCTATTGCGAGGATCAAGCCATAATTTCTAGCACTTATTTTCTGCCCAGTATGTGCCAGCATGTGGAAAGCATATTATTTCTAATCTCTCTCTTAATTAATCTTCACAGCTTCCCTAGGAGTAAGGTGGTTCCATTATTCACCTTTTTCAAGTGAAGAAACTGAGGCCCAGAGAGCTGAAATTCATTGCCCAAGGTCACCTACCATGGGCACAATTCAAACCCACGCAGCCTAACACGACTCAACCAAAATCTATTTTAACTAAGACCCCACTATTCATCCAACAGCCTCCTGGTGGGGAAAATGAGTCTCGAGGAACAGACGGGACCAGATTCCCGGCTTCCAAGCCCAACACCCTGGGCGCCACTGCCCCCAGGGAGGGACCTGACTCGTAGGTAACTCGGAACTAAGGGAGGCATCAGAGCAATTCAGTCCCGTTATTTCTTTCGAAGCAAAGGATCCAGGTGTCTCTGCTGGAGTCCTGCTCCGCGCCTGCGTTCAGGAAGGGCACCAGACCTGTCCTTACAGTGAGCTAGGCAGCACGCACGACCTGGGCGCGGGCGCTCGGTGAGCGGCAGCTAACTGTCCCCGTGGAACCTCTGATGCCGTCGCTGTGCTTCCAAACTCCCGCTCTGCCCAAGATTGGAGAGGCCGCGCCCAGTTTAGACATCTTGGGTGCCCTGATAGCGCTCCACCCGCCCTGGGTGCCCAGGACTCTCGTGCACCCCTGGAAGCCCCCGCACTGACCCGGGAAGCCGCGGCAGAGCCGCCAAGGCGCACGGAGCGGCGAGGACTCCCTTTTATGTCCAGGAATGAGGCGCGCACCGCAGCCGCGCCGGCGGCCAAAACCAACTTCCCCAGGGTGCAGAGGCAGCTGGTTCCATCCTCACGGCGGGTCGCTTACCTGTCACGGCGTGGGTCTTGACTGCAGCGAAGAGAAGCGCGCAGAACCAACGCGGCCACAGCACGCTCCAACACTGCTCATTTCTCCTGTAAGAAGTAGCCGAAGTAGCCGAGTGAGAGAAGGTGAGGCAGGCGGGAGGGGCTGAGGGGGCCGGGGCACGGGGACGCAGGTCCTACCTTGGCGCCATCTCCCGGGTCTGCCGAGCCCCGAAGGCTCTGAGCTGCCCAGCTCAGCGGAGGCGAAGGGGCGCTGCGCGCTGGCAGCCGCTCGTCCTTCCTGCAGGAAACAAAGGCGGTGCTGGGCAGCGGCCACGGCGGGCAGGCTCCCGGCTGCCGGCCCGCGCCCTGAGTCACCCGCGCTCTGAAACCCGACTCCGCCGCGCCCTGCGCTCCCCCTCGCGCCGCGCCCCACCTCGGGCAATGGTGGCGCACTCCCACCCCGGGATCTCCCCACGCCCCCTTTCCCCTTCAACTGACTCGCTCTCCCCAGCCGCCAATTCCACTCCGAGTCGACGCGGGTCTCTCCAGCTGTCACTTCTGTCCGGGTTGCTCCGCAGACAAAGCACTCTCCGTTCACCCGCCAGTAGAATCCTCTCAACGGCTCAAGGAGGCTGGAATCATTGTGATTTTTGTCCCGGAAAACGGAGTCCGAAGTGATGCCGATGTTCCGAGATCACACAGCTGGACTGCGCGGTTGGCTGCGGTGCCCCGCCCTGTGTGCAGGACCCGGGAACCTACTCGAATGCCTCGGAGTGATCCAGTTTGGGGGGTATAAGTGATACGTATAATTAAGTGCAGCAAAACTAATCCTAATAAAAATTGTAAATGTAGCTGATATTCCAGGATTTCCTTCCCTATACCTTGCCTGTACCCCAACCCCCAAGTGGTACCTCACAGGAGACAAGGGTTTATATTTGGTTCGTTCTCTGCCTAAAATAGCCTCAGGTAGTAGGAGGTGCCAATAGTTGCAGGCGAAAGGGACACAGTCTCAGGTAAGAGGTCACTCCAGGCTCTGTGGTGAGATGCTGGAGAGACGAACCAGGCTCAGCCTCCTGCAGCCCTCCATGCTGTGTGGCGAGGAGGGGGCGCACAGGGCAGACCATCCCACTTGTACAAAGCTCAGCACAAGGCCTGGCGCTGGTGAAACCCTCAGATGGGGGCTTCTCATTTTGATGATTAGCAGCAGGCACAGTGGTGTAAGATCTCGGAGCGAGAGGAATCACCACTGAGGTGGGCTGAGACCCAGACAGTTCTGAAGTCAGGCAAGTCCCAGGGGTCTTCCTTCCTGGTTGCGCCAGTAGCCCCTGTGGGCTGTGTGTGGCTCGGTGGTCAGTTCCTGGTTTGTATCTGGTTCCTGGAGGGAGAATTACCACCTGCCAAATGAAAGGTAGTTTGAATTAGCCTCACAGAGGAGATGGGGGCTGGAGGGCAGGCACAGAGAGGGCAGCTAATAATTACTGAGTGCTGATTAGGTCCCACACCCTGTGCTGGATACTTTGCCTGTGTTGTCTCCTTTAACCCCGGCGGCCCTGGCAGGTGGTACTGTAGCGATCCTCATTTCATAGATGAGGAAGCTGAAGTTTAAAACGTGCTCAACACAGGTCAACACGCATGCTCTCGGGTACTCACACTGCAGGTCCGTGAACAAGAGGATTTGACCCACTCCCTGCCCCCGAGAACAAAACTGGACTGGAGACACAGCACACTCAGGCATGAAACAGTTAATGCCCACGCAGGCAGCGAGGACTGGAAAGGAGCTCTGGCCTGGGGGTCAGAAGTCTTACTTCCAGTTCAGTTCTGGCCCTGGCTGTAGAGTGAAGTTGGGAAAATTCTGCCCTCGTCTGTTTTTTCACTTTTCCATTTACATAATGGATGTGACGATCCTGGTGTGGCCGGTGGTTGCGAGTCTCCGTGAGATACTGCATGCCACAGCGCTCTGTCCCCTGCGAAGTGCCGTGCCAACGTGAGAGGCCGAGTCTGGAATTAATGCAAGCCACCTTTGGAAAAGGGAGAAATCACTGTGGCCTGGGGAAGGCAGAAGAGGCTTCGAGATGGGGGTGAAGTTAATCCAGGCTCCGGGGTCTGCCGAGAGCTCGAGGGACAAAGAGGAGAAGGGGGAGGAAATACCAGGGACACGCACACCCAAGTAATAAATGGATAAGAACTCCCTGGGCTGGAGAGGAGACCGGTGGGCAGGGAGATGCTGAACTGACTGATGGGTGTGCACGTGGCTGTGAAGGTCACGTGAGATCATTGGTGTTCCCTGGGCATTTGGGAATCCCAGAACATTTGCTATGGAAAACCCCTGAGAAATCGGATCCAGCCATCTCCCTTCTGTCCCTATTTTATGGATGAAGAAACAGACCCAGAGAGAACGTGCAATTTACCAAGTCACGTACCCGATGAGTGACAGATTGACAAGTCCCAGAGCCAAGGAGGGAGACATATAACAGAAGGAGGGAATGGGCAAGGTCTTCAGACACTGCATAGTTCACATACAGTCAGAAGATCCTCAAGGTGGTGAATTCCTTGTTGTTGCAGAGACAGACCCTTTAACGAACAAGAGGTGGTAGAGAAGGGAGGGATTATGAGTGTGGGCTCTGGGGTCACACCGCCTTGGTGAATTCTGGCTCTGTTACTTAGCAGCTAGTATATGAAGTGAAGGTGACAATGGTTCCTTCCCCCAGGTTGTTGGGAGGATGCAAGGTGTGACTGAGACAGAAAGCATTTATCAGGGCGTCTGGTGCCGGACAATGCACAATGGATGTTCACTTCTGTCATTGGCGGTGGTGATACTCTGGCAGGGGAAGCCCCCTCTGGGAGGTGAGACACTAGTAGCCAAAGCAGCTGTAGAGCAGGCAAAGGACATTCCAACGGAATTGCCCACGTCAGGCATGCTTGTTAGCGTGCTCATACTCTGTGAATATGACTTCTCTCCCGCTGGCAGCTGTTCTGTGCTGGACATACCTTACTTTATTATGAATTACTAATCACAGGCAATTCGCCTTCTTAGTTCTATATTTGTCTGTTGTTTATACAGTACCCTACCAACTGGGAACATAATTGACTTTCTTGGAACTATATTTCTATGTTGCTTAGAAAGAACCACATCAACCACGATTATATAATAGTTCTGTAATTGGGTCTGACGATTAAAACCAGGGATTGTGAGCTGGTGGCCCATGGATTCACTTTGGCCTACAGATAGGTTTTTGTTTCTTTTTTTTGGCTTGCCTGGTGACAAGCTCCAAATTAAAATAGCCAGCAATTTTTGATAATAAGGTGATTTTACATCAAAATCCAGATTTCTGGCTTTTCAAACTTTTGGAAAACTTGGCACCATAGGACCTATGTTCCCTGCAACAGTGATTGGTTGGCATTGAAAAGGGGTGGCTGCCTTCAGGTAAGGCAACGGCCTCCGCTCTGCCATCGTCCCCACCACTCCGTAATGTTCCCCAACACCAGGGCTAAGAATCACTCGCCATTTATTACCACACATATGTTCTGCCTGTTTTTAGAAAAAAGAGAAAGATGGAATAGGTTGAGTGTTCACGTCTCTGTTAAAAATGGATAAAATATAGATAGGTAGGTAGGTAGATGGATGAAAGAGCCATGTTTCAAGAAAGATGTGGAAGAACATATTTCTACATATTTAATATACAAATAAAGCATATCTACCTTGAAAGCATGAAACTAAGATGCTATTGTATAACAAACCTGGTCCCCCTTAGTTGTGTATGTTACCTGAAGGACAAAAGTCTAGTTCATCAGTCCAAGACACATCTGCATAAGGCAGCAGGTCCCTTGACTGCACAGGCAGGGAGATCCTGGGTGCACATTTCCTGTTCCGTTGGTTCTCTGTAAGTATCTGATAATATCCAATTCGCTGAAATCTAAAGATGAAAGCCCCCAAAGAACAGTTCTCCCCTACAAATGACTGGAAATAGATGCACAGTGGTATCAGTCATTGTGTACCTATCTCACCTGGGAAGGACGGCTGTGATCACAGGCAGTGGGGCACTCGTTTTGGAGCTGGGCCTGGAGGTGACAACTGTGACTGACTTCAGACTGATGGAAGATGGGGAGGGTGGCCAGCCAGTAAGCTGGAGGGGGTCCAAATGGCCCCAGCATAGGTGTGGGAAGGATGGGGGCAGGACGCCAATCCAGGCATTTTGCCTCCAGACAGACTGTGTTTTTGAGGGTTTAAGCGATTTCCTTCCATTCAATGTGAAGCTGCAGAACTAGCCAAGAGGAAGCTTCGTGTCATACCCGAACGGGTCCAAACTGTTTACCATGGCCTCGGCACGGTTTGTGAGATGAGGGCGTGTGGAGACACAGAGCTCCGTCCTCTTCCAGGGCTCAGCCAGATTCGTGGGCTGCTCCAGTTTCCTACAGCCCATCCAAGTGTCCCAGAAAACGCAGCCTCCGAAAGCGTTCTCCAGACTGTCTCGAGCAGCGGGAAAAGGCACAAAAGTCAGTGTGAGGCGTTCCAGACTCTGGTTGGGGGCGAAGTTGCCAGGCACACAGTGCACATCTTTCCGAACCTGTTGCTTTCTTACGTGAGGGTAATACCTCCAGTTTGGACTCGTGATGAGACATTCCCAGGGGGCCCCCCAAGCTTGGACCCTCGTCTGACTTCAAGAGCAGGAAAAGCAGAACAGACTTAACTAGCTGACAAGAAAAGAATATACTGGAATAAACAGAGAAGAGAGCTGCCTTTTGGGTAATCGAGAGAAAACAGTGACAATTTCCACCCACACCTGCCTTCCAGGAAGGAGCGTCTTGTTCTGATCAGTACCTTGATGTGTTTGGATACGCAAAGGGAAGGAGGGCTGAGCAGAGCGGGGGTTTGCTTTCTGAAGGAGAGAGAAAGATGAATTTGAAAATCTGACAATGCTGGAGGGAAGAAGATGAGGAAAAAGGAGGCAGGGTGTGTCAGACACTCTTAGGTGCTACTCTCAGGGCCCCGTGCCTGTAACCGCTGCACTTACCAATTGTGCACATAGTAGACCTGACCTTCCAACTGCCACCACTTGCCTCCTGTCACCTGAGCACTTTCTCTGGCTGCTGGAGCCTGGGCTGCCCACAGCACAGCAGCCCCGCCGTGCTGGGGAGGTAACGCTGACCCCAGCCGCTCTCAGCCAAGGACGGACAGGAGCTGGTGGATGAGAACATGAGCCCCCTTCCCAGGTGGTGGGAACCCCCAGGCACCCAGAGTCCCCTGTGCCCCTTATGGCCCCTTGCTCAGTGCCCGCCCTGAGTCCCACTTGCTTCTGGCCCCAGGGCGTCCATGTTGAGGCTGACACCCTACACATCCACCCAGTGTGACCAGCCTGGAAGTGCAGTGGGAATAAGCCTAAGAAGCCCGTTTTTAGCCAACAGGAGCCCCTAAATACATTTTTCTTTCTACCTCTCCCAGATACACTGGGAGAAGAAAGTCATTATAAGGCATCTCAGAAGGCTGTTGATGTAAGAAATGCCCAAACCTGTAGAGAATTTCTGTGAGTTTATTGAGCCAAACTGGTGACCATGGCTGGGAAGCAAAATCTCAACGGACTGAGAAAACGCTCTGGAGAAAGGCAGCTTTGCGGCTTAT